AAGTCTAGTTATAAATACTCCTCCCACCTTCTGGCTTGCAGCTAGCGCTTGCTGTCCTAAGGTGGTAAAATTTCACTGGCGGGAAATCGAGATTCGTGTGGCACGTACTGACATCTTGTTTGCGTGATGACATGTTTTGCCAGAAGGTGGGAGGAGTATCACTTACCAAAAGTGAAGGGAAGAGATCGTTTTTACTATGTATCAATAAAGGATTCACTTTGTTTAAAGTTGTCGTCCTGCGTGCTACATTCCACCATACCATCCTGCTGTTACATCAGGGTACTTGTTACAGGACACCGAAGCACTTAAAGTTAGAGCAGACTTTTACTGCTCTACTCTTGTGAGTTTATCTAATTTTCCTTTAAATTTTACATTATCTGCACAGAGTTACACTATTGTTTTTCCCTTGTCTCTCCCCTTTTTTTCCTATTTATGCTTTGAACAAATATTATCAAATCTGAAAATCATATTGCTTCAACTCCTTCTTCTACTTACTGAGGAGTAAGAGTTTTATTTCTACCAATTTTATCACAAAGTGCACTGGATTCACTAAAAGTGTGTGCAGATACGGTGTATACATTTGCATTTTTTCACAAAGTGCACTAATTTCACAATAAGTGTGTGTAAATACTTTATACATATCTGTATTAATATAGCACCTAAGTGCACTGCTTTGCACTTTCACTGTTTTTTCACTGTGTGTATGTATGTATATATATATATATATATATATATATATATTGGAAGGCGGGGCCTGAAGTTGTGGGAGGGGCTATATCCCTTTAAAAGGGACTCCCCCTCCTACCTCATTTACCTTCTGGTCCAGACATTCGTTTGGATTGCAGGTTCCCAGCGTGGTTTTTCAGTTCCTCCTGACAGCTTGCATTTGTTAGGGATCAGGAACCAGACAGAGACAGAACTAGATGCAAAAACACCTTTATTAATAAATAGAAAATAAAGTAATAACCAAAAGCAAAGTCTAGGAGGCAAGCAGGGGTCAGGCACCAAAGTGGGTAGTCAGACGAGCCAGGATCAGGAGAACGGAGAGCAGCGAAGTCAGAAACAAGGCCAGAGTCAGGAACCAGGAACAAACAGGAACTCACAGGAACAAGGAGACTTCTGGGGAACAGGAAACCACGCAAGGGCAAGGAGGTACTGGGATTTGCTGCTTAAATAGACTGCCTGATTAGCAGCAGGGCTGGTTACTACTATCAGGTGAGTAACCGTGGCAACATACTGAAGGAGCTGATCGTTAATCTCAGCTGAAAACCCAGACACAGAAAAAGGAAGGGTTGGTGTTTAAAACAGCAAAGAAACCTTGACAGTACCTCCCTCTCAACGACTCCCCCCATATCTACTGGTGGATCCAGGCTTCATGGGGAAGCGGGCGTGATATGAACGAAGGAGGGATGGTGCATGGACATCAGAGGCTGGAACCCAGGAGCGTTCCTCTGGACCTTACCCTTTCCAGTGCACCAAGTATTGATCTGTCCTCTGAACTTTCGTGAGTCAATGATGCTGCGTATTTCATATTCATCATGATTATCAAGCAGAACAGGACGTGGACGTGGCACTGAATTGGTGTAACGATTACATACCAAGGGTTTCAAGAGGGAAACATGGAATACATTCGAGATGCGCATGTTAGCAGGAAGGTCAAGTGCATAAGCTACAGGGTTAACCCTTCGAAGTATACGAAAAGGCCCAACGTAGCGGGTGCCAGTTTTTGTGAGGGGACACGGAGCCGTAAGTTGCAGGAAGACAGCCAGACCTGAAAGGTAGACGCAGAAAGGCATCTGCGGTCGGCCTGGAGTTTGTAGTTCTGCGTTGCGCATTGCAAAGAGTTCTCAACCTGCATCCAAGTGTAACGGAGTTCCCTGAGATGTTCCTTCAATGCCGGTATCATTTGTGGCATGAACGTATCAGGCAACATGGACGGTTGAAACCCATAGTTCGCCAAGAATGGGGATAGCCGGGAAAGAGGCATTAATCGCAAACTCCGCCCAGGGTAGCAGATCAGACCAGTTGTTCTGGTGGTCAGAAATGTAGCAATGCTGAAGTTGTTCCAAGGCCTGGTTAGCTCGTTCCGCGGCACCATTGGATTGCGGGTGGTGGGCAGAGGAGAAGGAGAGCTGAATTCCCATTTGTGTACAAAAAGCTCTCCAAAATCTAGACACGAACTGGCTACCCTATCTGAGATTATTACTTTGGGTAACCCATGCAAACGAAAGACATCCCGAGCAAAAATTGTTGCAAGTTCTTGAGTTGGTAGTTTTTTCAAGGGAATGCAATGCGACATCTTAGAGAATCGGTCAACAACCATGAGAACGACTGTATTGCCACGGGAGACCGGAAGATCTCCGATAAAATCCATGGACAAGTGAGTCCAGGGTCGTTCACCATTAGGTATGGTTTGCAGGAGACCCACTGGAGGGTGTCGTGGGGTTTTATTTTGAGCACATACAGGACAGGCAGCTACAAAAGCAGTGACATCCGAACGGAGACTAGGCCACCAAAATTGCCAAGAGACGGACCAGATTAACAGTTTTTTTGCCTGGATGTCCAGCTGCTTTGGGGTTGTGATATGTACTTAATAATTTAGTAAGGAGATGAATAGGTACAAAACAACGGCCATTAGGTTTCTCTGAAGGAGCATTAATTTGTGCAGCCAGAATCTCCTCGCCTAGGGGTGAGGTGAGGTTAGTACGGATGGTGGCCAGTATAAGGTAGGGGTTATCTCCTCTCTAGATGGAGGAGAGAACTGTCGAGACAAAGCATCAGCCCGAATGTTTTTAGTACCGGGCAAATAATAAACCACATAATTGGGGAAAGCCGCTTAGCTTCAGAAAGATATGTAAGATTCTTGTGGTCTGTAAGGATGAGAATTGGCACTGAAGTGTCCTCAAGAAGGTGCCTCCATTCTTTGAGAGCTAAAATTATAGCTAGAAGTTCTCTATCACCAATCTGGTAATTGCATTCCGCTGGGTTCAATGTCTTCGAGAAATGCACGATTGCATGGAGCTCTCTGGGTTAGGCCAAGAATGTGACCTGTTTGCAGTTGAACTCACATTTCTCCAATTTACAGAACAGATTATTTTCTCTGAATCTCTGTAGTACACGAGAAAGGTCTGCGTGATGGTTCTCAAGAGATGTGGAATGGATAAGAATATCGTCAAGATAAACCACCACACATTGCTGCAGCATATCTCGCAGGACATCATTTATAAATTCCTGGAAAACCACCGGAGCATTGCAAAGACCAAAGGGCATTACTAGGTATTCATAATGCCTGCTCCTGGTGTTAAATGCGGTTTTCCATTCGTGGTCCTCTTTTATCCTGACGAGATTATATGCCCCTCTCAGATCAAGTTTAGTGAAGACTGTTGCTCCCTTGAGGCGGTCGAATAACTCCATGATCAACGTAATGGGGTAGGCATTCTTAATAGTAATGCGATTGAGACCCCTATAGTCTATACAGGGTCTCAACTTACCACTCTTCTTTTTTACAAAGAAAAAGCCGGCCCCAGCAGGAGAAGATGACTTCCGAATGAATCCCCTTCACAACGCATTGGTAACATACTCCTCCATGGCTCGATTCTCTGCTACAGACAGCGGGTAAATCCGGTTACGAGGAGGAATGGCATCAGGTTGGAGTTCGATACCACAGTCATAAGGACAGTGTGGTGGCAGAACGCTGGCCTGACCCTTGTCAAATACATCTTGGAATTCTCGGTACTCAGCGGGTAAGGCAGAAAATGTGCCCAAAACTTTGACCGGTTTCCGGAGACAAGATAATGTGCATTGCTGGGACCAAGATAATATCTCAGATTTGCGCCAATCAATTGTGGGGTTATGCTTCTGTAGCCAAGGGTATCACAAAACAACCACTTAATATGGGGAGGAAATGACTAAAGAGAGCAAAACCAACCCCAAAGCATTTTTTAGGTACATAAATTCTAAAAAAAAATAAAATGAAAGTGTAGGTACACTAAAAACTGAAACGGGAGTGTTAGTTAATGAAGACCGGGAAAAGGCAGGAATTTTAAATAACTATTTCTCCTACGTATATATTAAGGAAGAACCAATGGCAATAGATGTGCAAATGATTGCTACTAAAAACTTGCAGAATAATTGTAATTGGTTAACTCAAGACAAGGTGCTGCAGCAACTAAAGAAAGTTAATATAGACAAAGCTCCAGGGCCTGACGGTATCCATTCACGAGTACTTAAGGAACTAAGTGTAGAAATAAGTGAACCTCTGTTTTTAATCTTTCATGATTCATTTCTTTCAGGAAGTGTTCCAGAGGATTGGAGGAAGGCAGATGTGGTTCCTATATTCAAAAAGGGTTCAAAATCCTTTCCTGGAAATTATAGACCTGTGAGCTTAATTTATGTGGCTGGGAAAATATCTGAAAGGTTATTAAGGAATAATATTCAAGAATTCCTTGCGAAGAACATGGTTATCAGCAAAAATCAGCACAGTTTTATGAAGCACAGGTCATGTTAAACTAACTTGATTGCGTTCTACGAAGAAGTAAGTAGAAGTGTTGATCAGGGTGTTGCAGTGGATGTGATCTATTTGGATTTTGCCAAGGCATTTGATACAGTTCCACACAATAGATTAGTGTTCAAACTCAAGGAAATCGGTCTAGATGAAAATGCTTGTTCTTGGGTAGAACATTGGCTTAAAAACAGAGTACAAAAAGTGGTCATTAATGGTAAATTTTCAAGCTGGACAGAGGTGGCAAGTGGTGTCTGTTACGGCTCCCCCTGTCTGTGAGGGGTTACAGCCGTATGAGACGTTCCCTTACCGAATGCAGAGGCAGCCACTGAGTGCTACAAAGCAACGAACAGTAGCCGTACAGATGAAGTAGCTTCCTAAGTAACCGAACAGTAGATATACGAACACACTATTTCTCCCGAACAGCCACCATGCGAATTAAATATTCCTCCAAACAGCCGAACACACTTACTCCATACGAATAATCCCCCCAAAGACGAGACACAGCACCGTATTGAGGGTCTGCAGGAATCTGTTTAATAAGGGCTACATGCCTGGCTTTTATGCAAGTCCCCCACCTGGTGGACACTCCCCTAGGGGACTGTGACAAGGACAATGTACTGAACTGGGCTGCGCGCTCGGGACGTTCCTGTCCCTTCGATGGCCCCTAAGGCGCGCAGCCCATTTCAGCCCGTTTTTTAGGATTGCCCAAGTTTATGGATTAATGAATGGCCTGTCAGACTGACCAGATCCTACAGAGAATAGATGAGTGATTGTCTTCTCACCGAACAACAACCATTTTCACCTTCATCCAGTATATACCATCTACAGAATACATCATCCTCCTACTGAGCATACTATAAAGCCAACTTTTACTTTGGTGAGATCCATCCATATACCTATGAATTATATAGTGCACTATATTTTGGACTATTAACAGGACTGTATTATATATATTTTTTCTCTTTTTTCTTTTTTTCTAATTATTCTTTTTTCCTTTTTTCCGTTTTTTACTATTTTTTATTATTTTTTGTATTTTTTCTGGACTTTTTTATTCTTTAATTTTTTTTTGGATCATTACCCATTGTAAATAGATACAAAGCTCATGAAATTCAGCACAGGGAGGATTTTGTGTGTATATATGTAAATAATCTATGTATATATGATTGAAATGAATTTCACTAAGATTAACTTGATGAACCTATGAATTATTATTATAATAAATATTTTTGCAATTTAATATAAGCTTAGACTTTACTATAATTATTTTGAGTGCGGTATTCATATTTGTTTTGGATTTAGATTAGGAGGTTGTTGTGGGGTTAAACCTCAAATACCTGCACCTTGCATAATTGAGTGCCAGCACATATTGTGTTTTTGGTCATAGGATATGCACCACATATAGGGGGAGGCTGGTTTCATCAATGAAATATCAGTACACACTCATACGTAGCCTATGCCTTCCATTCTGTCATCCAGTACCTGGTTTAGGCCGTAACCCCTAGCCAAAATCAAACTACTACAGAACAATCAGGCAGACATTGTGCATTCAGGTAAGACATCTCGGTTTCAGCATCAATGGTAATACAGGAAATAGCCCATAAAGATGCATCAGCATGGCCATTTAGGTAATTTTTCTCACAGGCACCTTCGGCCATAGAGTTAGAGGTCCCGCGAGGCCAACACCCATCCTCCACGTAAGCCCCACGAGCCAAATCATAGCTAGACGCCTTGCATGTTGCATAGCTAGGGCATCACCTGACATAACCCTCAACTAACGAGAGACGCGCCACTTGTGAACCCACGTTCAGCAGATCACCCTCACGCGTCAACAATAGTTAAAACCGACCAGCCACTTGGCACTTAATAGGGACTCACCTGTCACTAGTATAATAAATTATTTTGCCTCTTTGACACTAGTTAAAACAACCTTATACACCCTCCATAATGAAACTCACGATTCCATATGTATATATTTTAGTATGTCCCAAGTTCATGAAGAAGGAGATGAACTGTCAATGCCTAGTACAACGACCAGGACTGCCACCCCCACACGGAAAGGGAACATCGGCAGCCCGTCATCTATTAGATCGTGGACCATCCCACGAATCACGGCTGAGCTACGCAGACATAGTATTCCTTATCCTGCGACGACCTGCAAGGCAGAACTGTACAGGCTTATGCAAACCAATCATGACAATTCTGATGCAGGGGAAGGCACTATTAATACAAGCAATGCTAATCTGCACACCATGGTCGCCTCTCTAGTGTCTTCCATGGAAAGCCTGGAAGCTCATGGTGGGCCAGTTGTGACAACAGAGTCACCCGCCACCAATATCCCAGGGCCTTTACAGGCCCAACCTGGTAATCATAATACCCCCACCTTCTTAGGGTCGCAAGTGATCAACCCAGCCCATATGGTACCAGCAAATCTTAAGAAAGATATCAAGCAAGGATGTCAATTTAGTCTCTGTGCTCATTGCCTCTCAGGATATCACAGAGAACCGCTCATATACTTATGGCGATATTTCTGTGGTCCTCAAGGCCAGAGACCCTAAACTAGCGATCCCAGATTTCATTATCGCTTTCGGCATTTACAGGGACGTACTGTGCTCAGTTTACCCACCGAGAAGGGAAGAATTAGACCTGTAATGCACAAGCTGGTAGACCTGGGCAACAAATACGGTGGTTCATCATTTTACAACTACCACCATTCATTTTCAACTAAAGCAGCAACAGCTCTGCTCCAGTATAACGCAAGAATGGCCTGGAGCCAAATGGACACAGAGCTGTTCCTCAGGCACTTTGCCGGGCTAAGGTCTCCAGCTTGTGCAATATGTGCGGCTACCACACACGTGGCAAATCTCTGCCCTGTCTCCGCGGATGATACCCCAAACAATGCCACACCATGCACTTCTGTGGGAGAGAAACAGGGCAGAGACAAGCTGGGTCGTCCATCGGGTACATGGGCTCAGGGTTTTCCCAAGGGTTTCACACTGGCCTCGTATACATGCCAGGGGGTACATGGGAAGCCAACAACCTCCAGTCCACCCTTAGTGATGCAGCCATGGTAGACAACCTACTACGAATAGAACGAAAACAAGGATTTGTCTTAGGTCGCCCAATCGTGTACTTGGGCAAGTCCCAGATATGTAATAATTTTAATGTTGGGGCTTGCTCCTATAGTGCTTACCATCTGCATATTTGCTCCCATTGGTTCAGGGCACACACAAAAGCTATGTGCCCCAATAAAATGCACGTTAAATCCTACCTAACTACCATGAATGTTGATGTTCTGACAGGGCTTCTCTCCAAGCACCCTTCAACACATCTCGTGGAGTATTTGATCTCAGGGTTTTCCCAAGGGTTTCACACTGGCCTCATATACATGCCAGGGGGTACATGGGAAGCCAACATCCTTAGTGACGCAGACACGGTAGACAACCTACTACAAATAGAACGAGATCAAGGATTTGTCTTAGGTACATTTGTTGATCACTTGTTTTCTAACTGGAGAACAAACCCCATTGGGTGTTAATGTGAGTGTGTGTGTGTGTGTGTCTGACTGTGTGTGTGTTTGTGTCTGACTGTGTGTCTGTGTGTGTGTTTGTGTCTGACTGTGTGTTTGTGTCTGACTGTGTGTGTGTGTGTGTGTCTGACTGTGTGTGTCTGACTGTGTGTGTGTGTCTGACTGTGTGTGTGTTTGTGTCTGTGTGTGTGTTTGTGTCTGACTGTGTGTGTGTGTGTGTTTCTGTGTCTGAATGTGTGTGTGTCTGACTGTGTGTGTGTGTTTGTATGTGTGTGTGTTGTATGTGTGTGTGTCTGACTGTGTGTGTCTGACTGTGTGTGTGTGTGTGTGTCTGACTGTGTGCGTGTTTGTGTCTGTGTGTGTGTCTGACTGTGTGTGTGTGTGTCTGACTGTGTGTGTGTTTGTGTCTGTGTGTGTGTTTCTGTCTGACTGTGTGTGTGTGTGTGTGTGTTTGTGTCTGACTTTGTGTGTGTCTGACTGTGTGTGTGTGTTTGTGTGTGTGTCTGACTGTGTGTGTCTGACTGTGTGTGTGTGTGTCTGACTGTGTGTGTGTTTGTGTCTGTGTGTGTGTTTGTGTCTGACTGTGTGTGTGTGTGGAAGCCGATTGGGCGAAACACATCATCACGTCGATTACGTCATCACGCCATCACGTGACCGGACGAAACTCCGAGTTCCAGGAAGTGAAGCCTGCAGTACCAAAAATTACCAGGGACTGGTAGATATTTACAATACAGTACTGGCAAAAGGTTATTAGGCTTCTATATGGAAACGGAGAGTGTGGATTTTCTTTATTTTCAATAAAAGCTGTTTTACTTTGAAAGCTGGTGTCCTGCCTACTTGCACCAACATTGAAGTCCTGGTCTTTGGATTAAAAGCTGGATCAGTTAGAGCAGGCTTTTACTGCTCTTTCCTTGTGAGTGATACTCCTATTTTTATTGCTGGTTTTTATATTTATGTAAAAACAATATTATACTATGTTTCTCAATTTTTTATCTCTTTTTACATATGTTCTTTTTTTGCATTTTGCACTTATGTTACACTGAATGTGATTATATTGTACACACTCTCTGTGTTTTTGCACAAATTATTGCACTATTTGCACTTTTTAAAATTTAAAGGTACAGAGCACCTATTTCTGTTTTGGATTTTGTGTGTGTGTGTGTTTGTGTCTGACTGTGTGTGTGTCTGACTGTGTGTGTGTGTGTGTGTGTGTGTGTGTGTGTGTGTATCTGACTGTGTGTGTGTATCTGACTGTGTGTGTGTGTGTGTGTGTGTGTGTGTTGTATGTGTGTGTTTGTATCTGACTGTGTGTGTGTGTGTGTGTGTGTCTGACTGTGTGTGTGTGTGTGTGTGTGTGTCTGACTGTGTGTGTCTGACTGTGTGTGTGTCTGTCTGTATCTGTGTGTGTGTCTGACTGTGTGTGTTTGTCTGACTGTGTGTGTTTGTGTCTGACTGTGTGTGTGTGTCTGACTGTGTGTGTGTATTTAGAAGGTGGGGGGGGCGCCTGAGTTTTGTCCTGCCTAGGGCAGCATAAAACCAGGATACACCAATGGCTATAACCACCATCATCTCAGCAGGCGTAGGCACCTGGTTGAGCAAAACAGACATAGTAAATGCCTTTAAGCTACTCCCCAAACACCTGTTGCTGTGGCACTTGCATGGTATCAAATGGAGAGGCCAGTATTACTTCTTCACAAGGCTCACCTTCGGATCCAAGAGCAGTCCTAAAATATTTGACACTTTCGCAGAGACCTTGTGCTGGCTGCTCCTGAATACCAGCAGGTGCCGTAGCGCCATTCATTATTTGGATGGCTTCCTTTTCGTAGAAAATAACTTACCCCCCCCCCCTCTAATAGTCTACATAAAGCCATACACTTATTTAACGCCATAGGGGTTCCAGTGTCTCCCACCAAGACGGAAGGTCCAGACACGGTCATTTAGTTTTTGGGGATACAACTGGACTCCATAACAATGGAAGCCAGCCTCCCTAGAGTTAAGATCAACAATATCCCTCAAACCATTCAGCAGTACTTATGCATAGGCTCATGCAATAGGAAAGAGCTACAGTCTCTGATTGGCTCTCTGAATTTTGCCATCCATATTATACCCCAAGGCAGATCATTCATTTCCAGACTCCTGTGCCTTCTTCTGACACTGACTGACGAGCACAAACGCACGTACTCTCGATCTACAAGCCACCGCAGACTTACACATGTGGAACATGTTCCTGTCAAGCTGGAATGGCAGGAGCATGTTCCTCCCCCAAGCCAAAGTAGATTCCCCCACCATTTGGACGGACGCAGCGGCCTCAACGGGTTTTGCGGCCATATTTGCGGACAACTGGCTATGGGGGAAATGGCCGGAAGAAGTTAGCCAAATCAAAGGTTTTTTTAGGAACTCCGCACTCTTTGAAGTGTACCCCATAGTAGCAGCAGCAGTCACATGGGGACAGCCTTGGGCAGGTAGACCGGTTCAATGTTTTTCTGACAACTTGGCGATCTGCCACGTCATAAACAAAGGCCGGTCTGCTTCTCTAACCATCATGAAATTTATCAGACGTCTTACATGGTTGGCGGCCTGTCACCAATTTCATCTGGTATGTTAACATGTACCAGATATATATAATACAGCCACTGACCAGTTGTCCGCTTTCAATTTCAGGCATTCAGGGAGTCTCTACCAACAGCGTCACTGGTATCCACGACCTGCCCCCAACTCCAGGATCTAATCATGGAATAGAGGACTTACTACAGCACAGCAAGATATTAACAAAACTCGCTCTCGCAAAAAACACGCACATCGCATACGATTGAGCTTGCTACTTATACAAAAAATTCATGGTAGACCATCACCTCACCAATTGGTTTGACAATGTAACTTTGGTGGCTTTTGCCACGTTTTGCCACATTAAATTAAAAATGTTGCATAATACCACTAAACTATATCTCACGGGTAGTCAACATCATATGTTCACAGAACATCCCAACAAACAAGGGTTTCTCACCTCCTACCCCATTAAAACCCTCCTTAGGGGTATGCTCAAATCACAGTGACCTATACCACAACGTAAGTGGCCTATAGACATACATCTTTTTAAATGTTTTTCAAGCCTACTGGATACCATACCGTTCGAACCCCTTACTAACACCACTCTAAAAACTGCCATATACTTGACTTTTTATGGTTTCTTACGACCCAGAGAATTTACCATCACTAGGCAACACGAGTCCAAGCATTGCCTCCGGTATTCTAACCTGTACAAGCAGCAGGATCACTGCGTATTAAGCTTACCTGCAACTAAGACCAGCCAGATGGGTCACGAGGTTCTTATTCAGTACTATCCCACCAACAACGCGTGGTGCCCGGTGGAAGTTTTCAACACCTATCTACAGTTACCACCTACACAAACCTCACTCCCTCTCCTTTCACTGCACGGTACAGCACTCACTACCGCCAAATTTGTGATGTATATTCCCTCAAAATTCTCTGTTAAATGATAAGTAAACTATGCACAAACATCCACAGACTCCAGTTGAAGTGGTTGTGGTGCCTACAGTGTTCCTGTAGATATAGACACTTTTTTCTATGATAAAGGAGATTTAGGGGTGTCAAATTACCAAAGCTTCAGTCAAAAACAGAATATAAATATGATAGAATAATTATATCTCACCTGTGTTATATGTTGTGCAAACTGGAGCACAGGACTGAGGAGTAGAAGACAGTGACAGGAAAAAGGTGAGACAGAAGAAGAGAGATACACTATGGAAGGAGGAGAGGAAATTAGTTTGCAATCTCAAATGTATTTTTATTTCATGTTAGATTTTATATTCAAACAGTGTGGGTCTATGATTGTGACAGTTTGCCTGTAAGAATTACTAGAGGAAGCCAACTTCCATACAATGGAAGTTGGCTTGCAAGAGCTGGCCAGCTGCCACATAGTTAAAGGGACACTAAAGTCACTTCTTAATGAAGCAGTTTTTGTGTATAGATCATGCATCTGAAGTCAAGCTGCTCATATCTCTGCCATTTAGGAGTTAAATCCATTTTGTATCATGCAACTGTGCACACCCCCACCCCCAACTGTGGCTGACAAAGCCTGCATGAACATTTTTTCATTTTCAATCAGATGTTAACTTAAGTTAGATATTTTTTGTATCCCGCTCTGTAAACTGGATTTTAACCACACACAGGAGGCTCCTGCAAGGTTTAGCAATCTACTAACAGAGCAGGAGATATGAAATTTTAAATGAAACAGACTGTGGAATAAAATAAGTGTAAACATTAGATATCCGCTTTCAGGAAGTGTTTAGGAAGGTTGTGCACATTACATGCAGGGAGGCATGGCTGTAGCTGAATAAACAAAAGTGATTTAACGCCTAAATGGCAGAGAATTGAGCAGTGAGGCTGTAGGGGCATGATCTTAACATTAAAACTGCTTCATTGAGTTGTTTTGGTGTCTATAGTATCCCTTTAACCTTCTCCCTGGGGTTTATTTCATAGTCCGCTGCCTGCTTGTGGTGCCAAGTGGCCAATCAAATAAACCCCAGTGTGGGGGTTAACTATGTGGGCTGCTAAGCTGATGCACTTTGATTGATTTTATTTTTCACTTCTTAGGATGGGGTTTCTAGTACTATTGTTACCGGACTAACTTGCTGAAGCCAAACACAGAGAGATGGAGGCAGGTCTTCAGGAAGTAAAAAAGGTCTTTATTTACACACCGATCGGGTCTCACACTGAACTTGTGTTCAAAAGGTATGAGCCCAGAGCATAGTTTGAACAGGCTATTTATTAACAATAACTCCTCCCATTCATATCTCCACTCACACATACCCTTAGACCAATCAGTGAACAGGATATTCAGGATCACCTAATACGGGCAGACCGTATGACTCCTTTTAAGGACAAAGGAATGTGACTACAGATGATGCACATGCTCAGTACATTGATGACAGTATCTTAGCTACATGTAACTAACTAACAGATACAACAAACACCTGTATTTGTATATGCCACATGGAGATTTCAGGCCTACAAAATTTTGAACCATGTTGAAATCCCATCACATTCCCCCATTTGATGCTACTGATACAAAGTTATTCCAGATGCATCACTAATCATAATTTGCCAACACCTGTCAAGTAACCATGAGCCGGGACAGACCTTATAAGCATTCTAACTTAACTCTATTACCTCTCAACACTCATCGACCTGATTATTAATAGTCTCTCTCTGGGTTAGGGGTTCATATTTCCAGATGGCCATTACATATGCAGCTGTCTTCCTTTCTATAGTGCTCTCAATAACACTACGTATAGACCTAACTACTAATGGAATCAGACAGGGCAGGAAGAGGCATAAGAAAATAATAAATACCACTCCTCCTACCAATGCCTTAATCCCACCAAGCTGCTCATACCAACTCCCAAACCAACTATTTGGATTATACCCGTTCCAAGTCTGAGTGGGTACGTGCACCAGTTTAACCATGTGGTTAGTAATATCAACCACTGCCTGCCCCTCATCATTTATATTCAGACAACAATTACTGAGGTTAAACTTTCCACACACACCTCCTTCTACTGCCGGCAAATAATCAAGAGCCAGCCTATTTTGGTAAATGGCTGATCTCATGCGGGTATTTTGCTTCGCCAAAAGGTTAAGGGCCTTAGCTGTCTCATTGGTTATGATCTCATCCACCGCCTGTAATCTTATAATGCGGTTGAGCATATATATATGGGGGTTCGGTAACCATAAGTACCATCTTCAGCCCAGGTAGCAGGTCCATAATAATTAATAATATGTTGGGGAGACCACTCATCATCTTCCCAGTTACCCACGTTCAATGATGCTCGCTTCTTTTTATGATTTACTTAATAAACCTTAACTCCCAAGGTCTCTCCCTTTTCAGTTGGTAACAAGAAGAAGGATGGTTTGAGCATACCTAGCACACATGCTCCCTCCCAATCTTGCGGCAACTCCGAGTATGCTTTCTTACCACAGATCCAGTATAAATTCACTGGGGCTTTCCAATTGGATGTAACAGATAAGTCAAACCATACCTCTTTCAAATTGGTGTAATTGGCAAAAGGATTAGTAGGTTCCAAGACATTTGAAGCTGACCACCAAGTAGTATCTTTTGTATCAGCATTATAGGCCTTCTGTCCCAGACATGTTAACTCGCCAACTAGTGTATTATATAGTGGCCCTTTCCTGGCAAAACATACATGACCTATAATAGATGTTTTTAACTGCCATTCTGATTTACCTCTAGTACTTACTTGTTGATCAGACTGAGCAGGCATCTGTTGTTCATCTGTCTCAGAACCAGGGTACCAAATCTCTTTTGTCTCCCATGGCCATTGGTCTCCCATATTAGTACCTCCACATACAAAGCAGTTAGTTATATTAAGACTACCTGCAATACTCTCAGCCAAATCAATAAATAGGTTCTTAACATTATGGGGAATTGTACCCTCAACACTCATCTCCTTATAAAAGGAATTGAAAACCTGATGAGTCTCAGCAGCTGTTGTCTAGGTTTCAACACCTACATATAATATGGCTCCCGGATCTGTTCCTGTACCATGTATCTGAAACCCAAAAAGACTCCCAAACTTATCAATAAATTGCTGTGGATTGGAAATGGTCATATGTACGGGAATACATTCCATGGTTTTACAATACAGTGTAGTGGGCAACCTTTGGATAATCATGTCTTGATCTACTATCATTCCCCAGGTCGCCCACCCTACACATGACTAATATGGGCAGCAGTTAAAGTCTCTACTTGGGCAGTCAGGATCAGTAGATCTTTTACTAAGGCATAAATATTTGTTGTTGAACCCATAAGTTCGTTCCCATTTAAGATTACCACATACATTCCAAGGTTTTCTACTACCCGAAATCACCTTACATGCATCAAATAATAGAATACCCATAGAATGTATGGTGCTTATCAAAGTTCTATTTATCAATGTCCCCTGAGAGTTACTATTTCGAATTACCAACCAAATTTTACGGGGTTGGAATTGGGGATCGAAACACTCAGGCTCACCTGATATCGGATGACACACACTATAATCAGTATCTAAGTACCTACACCTAGACAAAGATCTCTTACATTCATATTGTGAGTGCCAAATTAGGGTCTGGGATATCTGGTTACCTGTTTTCATAGTCTTAATACAACTAACACAGCTTGGAATATAATTACATTTACCCTCCTGAAAAATCATAAAAATACTAAATAATTAAACACATTATTCTTGTGATCCTCATCTTGATTCTTCGACCGTGCGACGGCATCTCAGCTTCCCGCTTGTGAGGGCTGCAAGGATTGTAGTACTTCTGATCCTCACTTACCTTCACAGAGGTCCCTTCGAGATACTCTGACTATGAAACGTAGGCAGGTGGTCAGGCTTTATTATGGCCGTCAAAACACCTACTTGTTGATCTCTGCAACTTTCAACCATGATTCTTCAAAAATCACCTCATACTTCTCAAGTCACGCTCAATTCGACTTGGTCATGCACTTCAACCGGATCTTGCAAGGATTCTCACGATCTGGAGTAGCTTGCCAGGAATCTGCCACTGGTTTAACCCTAGAGTGATGAATCCAAGGTGTGACCTCTGCTACCATTACAGCTCCTTCTTTATACAATGCTACATGGGCATGAGTTGTTAAGAAGGCATATCTTGAATCCGTATAGATGTTCACTCTCAACCCCTCAGCTAGTTGCAAGGCCCTTGTCAGTGTGATTAATTCCGCCTTCTGTGCTGATGTCCCTTTCGACAATGGTCATGCTTCTATCACCTTGTCTATGGTGGTTATCGCATACCCTGCATAGCGAATACCTTCTTTTACAAAGCTACTACTGGGTTCTGGATGGGAAAATCATGGAGATCTGGCCTGCTAGAAAATACTTCATCCATTATTTCCAGACAGTCATGTTGACTTTCAGCAGTCTGTGGCAGAAGGGTAGCTGGATTGAAATTGTTGACAGTCTCAAGATGAACTCTTGGATTCTCGCATAGCATAGCCTGATACTTGGTCATTCTGCTATTGCTGAACCAATGATTACCTTTGTAATCCAGTAGAGTCTGTACTGCATGAGGTACTCGCACATAGAGTTCCTGACCCAATGTAAGTTTCTCAGCTTCCGCTACCAACAAAGCTGCAGCAGCCACTGCTCGTAGACAAGGTGGAAGACCACTAGCCACCGCATCCAGTTGTTTGGACAAGTAGGCTACAGGTCTTTGATAACACTCCCATGGCCATTCTTCTTTGCTCATGCACATATAGGTAGAAAGGACGTGAGTGATCTGGTACGTCTAGGGCTGGGGAACTCAAAAGTGCTTTCTTGATATCTTCAAATGCCTTCTGTTGTTCTGTGGTCCATAGGAAGGGATCATGTTCTGTGCCTTTTAAAGCTTCATACAAGGGTTTCGCCAATATCACATAATTAGGAATCCATATCCTACAGAATCCTGCTGCTCCCAAGAATTCTTGCACTTGTCTTCTATTCATGGGTACAGGTATTCGACACACTGCTTCTTTTCTTTCAGGTCCCATTGTTCTTTGACCTTCAGAGATATGGAATCCTAAATACTTGACAGCTGGCTGACACAATTGCGCCTTATTCCTTGATACGTTGTAACCTGCCCTCCAAAGAATATGTAGTAGATCATGGGTTGCCTGTTGGCACAACTATTTAGTAACTGCAGCTATCAAGAGATCATCCACGTACTGAAGCAATACACATTCCCTTGGGATGGATTTTGTCACGATTCGGGGAACCCAACACGCTGGCACACACACACACAAAAGGTGCAGTACCGGACCTTAGAGTGGCCGGGCTAAGCACACACAGAATAGTCAGAAAACAAGCCGAGTAAGGGGAACCAGAAGACAGAATAACGTGAAACAAGCCGAGGTAAAAGGGTAGGAGAAAGTCACAGAGTCAGATAAACAAGCCAGAGAGTACGTAACCAGAAACACAAGGTAAGTAGCAATACTAGCAAGCAAAGACCACAACAGGGCAGGGAGGAACAGGAAAGGTAAGTATTTAAACCATCAGGTTAATTCTGATTGGATAATTTCCAATCAGAATTAACAATCACACGTGGGAGATATCTAGACCTCCCACTGTGATTGAGGCACTGTGCCTTTAACGCCGGGTCAGGTGACTGACCCCGGCGTGTATAAACCTGGGCGGTCTCCCAGCGTGCAGCGTCATGCATGCTGCCGCTGGGGGACGTGGAGGGAATGGCGGGCGGCATCCGAGGTTGGAAGGATGCCGCTCGCCGTACCCACGAGGCGGAGGGGACCGCGGACGGCTGGAGGGTGAGTACTGTGAGCGGAGTGCAGCCTCCACTCACAGCTGCCCGCGGGAACCTGACAGATTTGGAGTCTTGTAAATCTTGACTCAGTGCAGATCCAAATAAGGTAGGTGAATTCTTGAATCCTTGAGGCAACCTGGTCCAAGTCATCTGACGCTTTGATCCCGTAACAGCATCTTCCCATTGAAAAGCAAAGATGCACTGACTTTCAACAGCAAGTCGAAGGCAGAAGAAAGTATCTTTAAGATCTAGGACTGTAAAGTGAGTTGCCCCACCAGGAATTAGGGCAAGCAGATTATAGGGGTTGGGTACCACTGGGTGTATATTAACTACTGCATCATTAACTGCTCTTAAATCTTGTACAGGACGATACTCATGTGATCCTGGTTTCTGAACAGGTAATAATGGAGTGTTCCAAGGAGAGGTACAGAATTTAGGATTCCATACTTTACGAACTTATCCAAGTACATCTGTATGTTCTTTTTGGCCTTCTGAAGTATGTGATACTCAGGCTCACAGGGTAGGCTCACAGGGTAGGCCCAAAGCTTTAGTTCAATATGTATCGGTGGGATATTACGAGCAAGTCCTGGAGGATTATTCTCTGCCCATACTCCTGGAATGTCAAATAAAGATACATCACTCCAAGGGTTTGCATTTGTTATTACAGAGTAGAAGCGTAGATACTGCTATCTGCCTGGTGATTTATTAAACTTCAGAGATGTTGATCCATTAGGTAGAAAAGTTATCTGATCTTGAAGCTTTGATAATAGATCTCGTCCTAGAAGTTGAATTGGACACTCTGACATATATAGGAACTGGTGCTTCACAAAATGGTCTCCTAAAATGCAAGTGCGACTCCTGAGAACTGGTCTAGCAGCGCTTCTCCCAGTAGCTCCTATTACAGATACAGTCTTTCCAGAAGGAGGAGCTACCAACTTAGTCACCACAGAATGTCCAGCACGTGTATCAATCATGAAAGGACTTCTCTTTCCCCCTATTGTTACATCGACCATAGGCTCCACTCGGCCAAGGGGGATGGAGCCCAGTCGGTATCAATAGTCTTCTATGACAATGTCAGCCAGACCCACAAAATTTCTATCTTCCCTATCCCTAAGTCTCTGAGTAGGGGGATAATATCTTCCTTCCTGAACACCCCCTCTGCCATTTCCATTAAATCCTCCAAAACTTCCTCTTCCTCGTCCTCTAAAGCTACCACCGTAACCCAGCTGACTGAAGAAGCTCTATTTGAGAGTGAAACGCATATTGGCCATTTTTAAAGGACTTTTATTTGAGGACTTTTATCATCTTTGTTTTTATGTTTATTTTAAACTAATAAATTCACCATTTTCATTTAATACCTCATCCAAGTTCTTTTTGGAGCCTCCAAGGAATCCTCACAGGGGTAGTGCCATCCCCATTCAAATTGGCACAAAATCCACATACCTAGAGCCAGGATTCGTAGGCTCAGGACCAGGTGAGCACCCCATTTATTGAACACATATCTGTGTCATTTATCACCATAAGTCTACACATTGGTTTGCTTTCTTCTCTTTTTTCGTGTTCTCGAGAAATTCTTCAAGCCGAAGTAGGAGGGTGGTGCTACCATAACAGCACACAAGCCTTTATACGGAGCCAGTGTTTTCTATATACAGGCTCCTTGAAATGTGAGTGTAATATTCAACACGATATTATTATAATCACTGTGAAGCCATTTTTTAGTACCATCTACACTATATTGTATTTTCTGTATTTTATTTTGACATGTACCCCATATTTCACCATTGAATGAGACTACGTTTTGGTAAGATTTATCTGTGTTTGAGCGCTCCACTTATAGGTGTAGGTCCTTGTCACTTACACCGCACCAATATCTACCGTAACCACCTCGCCCCTATCTCTCATCTTGTCTACCACCTACAATATATCCCCTCTGTGGGCAGTCACGCTTCCATTGTCCTTCCTCTCTACAATATGCACATTGATCTCTGCCTGCCCATCCTAGCCTCAACTCCTCTATCCATCTCCCCTTCCTGTCTCGCTACACCTGTGATAGCTACCGCTAACATGTCTGCTTTCTTCCTCATTTTACGTTCCTCCTCACGCTTTGTCTCAGTTTCCCTATTCATATATACTTTATTTGCAACCTCAATTAACTGTGATATGGACATCCCGGCAAATCCCTCTAACTTTTGTAATTTTCTCTTGATATTGTTCTGGGCCTGGCTGACAAATGCTGACTTAATCATTTGGGCAATATATGGTGGACCAGGGGTAAGCCGGAGAGGCATTTGTAAATGTCGGGATTAAAGGGTACCAGTCATTTGTCGAGTTAGTATGGGACTTCAATAGGGTTGTTTAGTAACAGGTTCCGATCTGGGAGTAGTAAGGTAGGTGAAAGGGGGTGACTTAATTTTACTGGTCAGAATTAGATGATTGAAAAATAAAAATGTGTTTAAACCAAAAACCTGCCAGTAGGTGTCACGAGAGGGTAAGTAATTGTATCAAAATAGTCTTTATGGGTCTAACAATAAAACTTGGTGTGGCGAAACCGACCTCGCCACTGGGCATTGGAGAAGATTGATTGCCAGCCTCCTGCCATGTGACTATGGCCCCTGGGATATATTGCCCTTTAAAGACATGATTTGGGCATAAGGGATTTGTGTTGTGCTGCTGCTGGCCCTTTAAGAACCATCTGCGGACATACTGTGGAGTTACTGGGTGGCCACCATTTCCTGTATCAGAGGCACATGGTGAGAACAATGGATGAAGCACATGGTGAGAACAATGGATGGCGGCCATTTTAACTCACAGACACTGTTTGGACTTTTCAACACGGTGCTATCTCGCCAGTATTTGGTGCACAGAGACATCGTGCAGTGGTTTTGGACTATACAGCAGGGGACACATTATACAGTGATTGTTTTTCATTTAGCCTGTATATGTTCTGCAGAATCTGCATTAAACGGTATCTTCCAAAGTACTGAACGGATCTGGGTGAATTTTGGATATGTGGTTCACCCAAATCCCCCGGTTCCAAGGATATACTTTATGGGGTTATTGCATGTTTTGGGGTCCCTGTGATGTGTTTTATGAAACTGTATTTCTCTGTCTGTGATAATTAGATTACCCATTGTGTAAGGTAATTGTATTACAGGCAGATGGGAGGATTTTGTGTGGGAGTGTCTGTGTGTATTGTACAGATTGATTGGTTGTTCTGTAAAACCCTGTGGGCAGTACTAAGTTTGTGGATTGGGAATAAAAGAGGATGTATGTGCCAGTACAGTCAGTTCCTGCTTAACCCTCAAAGTGAAGTGTCGTCTCATTATTGGGGGGAGGATTTATTGTATGCTGTTCCAGTTTGATTGCCAGGAGTGTAAGCTGATTGTATGCTTTTCCTGTTCAGCTGTTTCCAGTATTTGTGAGTTTCCTGTTCAGGAGTTGGAGAATTCATGTAGTTTGCAGTTCGGGAGATTGGTGCTTGCAGTAGCTGTCGGTGCAGCTGAAAAAGGGTAATATCGCCTAAATGGTTTTTAACCTCTTTTGGGCAAAACGGTCCGTTACACTTGGCTTTTAATATATTTATACCTAAAATAAAACCTTACGACAAGAAACATTAAAATAGGGTACGCAGTCCTACTTCTGTCTGTTGTATGCCAGTATAGAGTTACGGATGATTCAACGGTCATTAATATTTTAAACAATGTAAATCAATGTAACTCCAGAAGATAGCCAGTAGGTGGCCCTAGAGTGCTTCCTAAAGTCTAATGAAGCAGATAGACTATATTTATGTGAGACAGGTATGTGGGTATGCGGGGACAATATAGCAGGGGGAGTGCAAATACCAGCTACACCAGTTTTAGCTTGGGAGGAAGAGTAGAGGGTTGGGAATCAGATGCAAGGCGGGTGTCCAAACTAGGTGGAATTAAGGCCTTAGTGGACAAACAGGTTCTGGCTACCATGGACTCCATTGTTCCTCTTAGCACAGGTTGATCCATTTAGCAGTGTTTCAACAATCTGTATACAGAAACTACTCGTATAGCCCAAGCATATTATTTATAACAATGTAAACCTGCTGTATTAAATCTGGATCAAGGATCCACAGGAACACTGGTTACCAGAACAGGCCGTCCTCTGCTACACAGAGTATTTTAATCTTTTGGGGGACAGTGTTACACCATAATCACAAACAGCATATCCCTTAGAATTTTTTTTTTTTTTTAAAAGCATTCAAGACAAAGGACCGTTTGTGAATCAGAAACACCCATGATTTCAACAGAGCGTCTGATTCAAAGCAGTACAAATATACAAACAGTTTCAACAGTCACACCAGTTACCTTAGCAACAGCACCACGCGGCACGGTTACTAGGCCCAAACATACACGTACACGCACGCACAGGATCCTCACACACTCAACAATATCACAACGTCACACACACGAAATTAAATCAAAAACCCATCCAAGACTATCCACTTATCAATGTAACTATTATTCAAACCATACAATTATCCACACTATTAATCCACATAAACTAACCGATCACATAACATTTCAACAATTTCGTCTCTACAGTCAGTGGTTATGGTACGGTTAGTAACTATAGGTACAGTTAGATAATTATGGTGTTAGAGTTACAATATCAAGTAGTAATAGTTAAGGTGTTACACATACAATGTCAAACAGTAATTTGAGTGTCGTTAATGTAATGTCAGTGGTTATGGTATTATGAAGTAGTTATGGTATTACGAAGTAGTTATGGTATTTTGAAGTTGCTATGGAAGTTTGAAGTGGTAATGGCATTATGTTGTTGTTATGGTATTATGTAGTGGTTATGGTATTATAAAGTAATTATGGTATTATGAATCGGTTATGGTATTATGAAGTAGTTATGGTATTTTGAAGTTGTTATGGTAGTTTGAAGAGGTTATGGTATTTTGAAGTATTTATGGTGTTGTGCACAATTTTACACTATACACACTTTTTACAAGTCCGCTAAACGGCAGAGCTCAAACTTTCTAGCAGGACATACATTTCACCAATTACAACGTATTTTCCAACTTTTACAGCAAACCCAACTATTCTAACTGACCAGCTCCTTGAAAGCTACCGAACGGAATATACACCAAAATTCGGTTAGTTTACGTTGCCCAGGCACCAAGTTTGAGATCTAGCAAACGGAATTTACACCAAAATTTTGATTAGTCTCCAGTTCCTCTATCAATAAGCTAGTGACCACATTTACACCAAAAATCACTTAGTCAAGATAGGTTGAGAGCTAGCGAACAGAATATACACCAAAATTCGCTTAGTCTCCCCGGTATCCCCGATCTAAGGACCGAATTTGCAACAAGATTCCACTTAGTCTGCCAGGATACCGGTGTCTGGCTGAACATATATACACCAAAATTCAGTCTGACTACAACCCTCCTATATTAAACGGGCTGGCTACAAGGCATTTAATTTCAAATAAGCGTTGCCCTTCGCTTCTTCCCAAGGTTACAGACTGGCCTGAGGTACCCCAACGGCATTCCTGGGGCATTCAACATGTATTGCAAGTGGGATAAAGGAGAAGACATGCACAATTTTTTAAGTATTAGTATAAGCATATAAACATGAGGGATTCAGGCTAAGTATGTAGGAGCATCTTTTTAGGAGCATGAGAGTGGGTGCATGTGGGTTTGACAAAGGTACTAGACAGAATAGAGTGTAGCTCCTTATGGTTAGTGGGCTGCGTCCGAGCACTGCAGTCCGAGATTTTGTCGTGTTTAGAGCCTGTGCACAAGAGCCTTGTCAGCTAGCTAGTTAGGCTCCGCCCCAACTCTCCATTCTTTTTAACTGCATTAAGTAGTCTAGATTTTGACTATTTAATTCACAAGGTATTTTAGTGAGGTTATGCCCTTTTTTACCTCTTCAACCCATTTTTAGCATCAGAGTAGGTTTTTCCTATAGCAAAAACAAGATATACCGAAGAACATAAATAGAGAAAGGAAAACTTATAGGGTAATAAGGTTAATCGTAATGAACTCCAATTTCAAAGTTGCACTTACAGAGTAGCAGAAAATTCAGACTCGTCAATAATGTGTAGAATCCCAGAGATCCAGCAGTGTTCAGATGTCCAATAATGCATGTAAGAAGATATAAAGAAACATAGTGCAGCGCTGATATAAAATAAATTCACACGCTTTAATGGTTACACTTACAGCATACAAGAAGATCAAAGGCCCATAAATTCCACGCTGCATTCCCCGGTTCTAATCTCTATGGTATGGAGTATAGGGGTCCTCACAGGTGTTGTAGGCAAAAATAACAAATTAAAAATACACTCTATGAGTTTCGTCTAGTACTCTAGACTTCATCAGGAGTAAAAAAATGCTGCAGTTTGTGTTAAAAGTCCCTCTTCCATGTATCAGGTTACTGTCGGCCGAGGACATTAAGTGTCTGCTAAATCCCCATAGGAAAGCATTAATACAAAATGCTTTCCTATGGGGAAGTCTAATGCAAGCGCGAAGGAGGAGCCTAACCCATCGCTGAGGGACATCGGTGCTGGATTCAGGTAAGTTACTGAAGGAGTTTTAACCCCTTCAGTGTTGAGTTTTGGGGGAGAGCACAAGAGAGGGGGGCACTATAGGAAACTATAGTACCAGGAAAACTTTTCTGGCACTACAGGGAGTGCAGAATTATTAGGCAAGTTGTATTTTTGAGGATTAATTTTATTATTGAACAACAACCATGTTCTCAATGAACCCAAAAAACTCATTAATATCAAAGCTGAATATTTTTGGAAGTAGTTTTTAGTTTGTTTTTAGTTATAGCTATGTTAGGGGGATATCTGTGTGTGCAGGTGACTATTACTGTGCATAATTATTAGGCAACTTAACAAAAAACAAATATATACCCATTTCAATTATTTATTATTACCAGTGAAACCAATATAACATCTCAACATTCACAAATATACATTTCTGACATTCAAAAACAAAACAAAAACAAATCAGTGACCAATATAGCCACCTTTCTTTGCAAGGACACTCAAAAGCCTGCCATCCATGGATTCTGTCAGTGTTTTGATCTGTTCACCATCAACATTGCGTGCAGCAGCAACCACAGCCTCCCAGACACTGTTCAGAGAGGTGTACTGTTTTCCCTCCTTGTAAATCTCACATTTGATGATGGACCACAGGTTCTCAATGGGGTTCAGATCAGGTGAACAAGGAGGCCATGTCATTAGATTTTCTTCTTTTATACCCTTTCTTGCCAGCCACGCTGTGGAGTACTTGGACGCGTGTGATGGAGCATTGTCCTGCATGAAAATCATGTTTTTCTTGAAGGATGCAGACTTCTTCCTGTACCACTGCTTGAAGAAGGTGTCTTCCAGGAACTGGCAGTAGGACTGGGAGTTGAGCTTGACTCCATCCTCAACCCGAAAAGGCCCCACAAGCTCATCTTTGATGATACCAGCCCAAACCAGTACTCCACCTCCACCTTGCTGGCGTCTGAGTCGGACTGGAGCTCTCTGCCCTTTACCAATCCAGCCACGGGCCCATCCATCTGGCCCATCAAGACTCACTCTCATTTCATCAGTCCATAAAACCTTAGAAAAATCAGTCTTGAGATATTTCTTGGCCCAGTCTTGACGTTTCAGCTTGTGTGTCTTGTTCAGTGGTGGTCGTCTTTCAGCCTTTCTTACCTTGGCCATGTCTCTGAGTATTGCACACCTTGTGCTTTTGGGCACTCCAGTGATGTTGCAGCTCTGAAATATGGCCAAACTGGTGGCAAGTGGCATCGTGGCAGCTGCACGCTTGACTTTTCTCAGTTCATGGGCAGTTATTTTGCGCCTTGGTTTTTCCACACGCTTCTTGCGACCCTGTTGACTATTTTGAATGAAACGCTTGATTGTTCGATGATCACGCTTCAGAAGCTTTGCAATTTTAAGAGTGCTGCATCCCTCTGCAAGATATCTCACTATTTTTGACTTTTCTGAGCCTGTCAAGTCCTTCTTTTGACCCATTTTGCCAAAGGAAAGGAAGTTGCCTAATAATTATGCACACCTGATATAGGGGTGTTGATGTCATTAGACCACACCCCTTCTCATTACAGAGATGCACATCACCTAATATGCTTAATTGGTAGTAGGCTTTGGAGCCTATACAGCTTGGAGTAAGACAACATGCATAAAGAGGATGATGTGGTCAAAATACTCATTTGCCTAATAATTCTGCACTCCCTGTATAGTAACCATTTTAAAGGAGTAGGAAAATGTGGAGTCTAAAGAGGAAGGGTGGGTTCTTAATCAGGAAGAGGTGCGGCCTTGACCGGTAGGGGTGGGGCAAATTTAGATTAGGGCAGCACAAAACCTAAATACACCACTGCCCACTCCTACTGGTGGTTATAGACCAGCACTCTCAGTCAATCACTAGTAACCTGGTTTGACAGAATTGAAATAAGTAATGCAGACGTGCAAATTCCAGGAGTGCTGTCTCAAGGTGAAGCCTATTTTTCATCAAACCACTCCCACTCTTATAATACTCTTTAAGGCAACCTTTGAAGGCCAAACATC